TGTGCACTGGGTGTCACCTTGAGAAGTGATTGGCTAGTGAGGCCAGACAAGTATCGACCTTGAGTGGAGGCGTCCGAGGAATGCATGACTAAGAATAAGGGGTCGCTACAAAGCAATCAATTTCGGACCGGTAGTTGGTTGCCTGCTCATGAGCTATATCCCCCTTGCGGAACTTACTTTTTATTGAAAGTTTGTGGATCGGTGTGAACCCATACCTGGTTGAACATCAGTTACTCTTAGCAAGAACAGAACTAATTACCTGGAGTAGGTACGACTATCCAAGTACGTTATATCGGAAATATTTAGTATTGTATGGAGGACGATCCTGGTAGAAAAATGTTGCAAAGATATTAGTGGAGTCTCCAGGGAGAAGGAAATGCTTAAAGAAAACAATGTTCTCCGTCGTTCTCGGCTAACTTTGTACAATAAAAATACTGACAAAAGTTAAGTTGCGTTCAGATCAACTTGCGGTTATGTTTTCTCAGAAGCTTTCTAAGGTACTATATTTGTTAGTTATATGACAAAAGGTTGTGGACAACATTCGGATAGCCCTTTCAATGTCACATAAAACAGCTAATTAAATGGATAAGTAGGCCCTTTTAAATTACTAACTGTCGGTTGGCAGCCTGTGAATATTACGCGGTAAGTCCGCAATACGCCCAAGTGCCCGGCCTATTTTTTCGGTTATTTCTGACTTAGTTTCAATTTTCAGAAAGCAGCCCTTGACTACAATAGGGCGAGCTCCGGGTGATTGCTGCATCATTTCAGCGACTTATTCTTGTTCCGTCGGTCAGAAACGGACATATTTGTGGATGGATAAGACTGGCACCAACCAGTCTGACCGAACCGCAGGACAGAATCGGAATATTCCACTGACTGTCTTGGAATGAAGAGCGAGACTTTTTGCCAACGGTCTTATAAACACTGAAAGGAAAGACATTTTGCCTCCCCTTTCATGACCTGTTTGCCGTCTTCAATAACCTGCTTTGCGGCCTCACTACAATCTAACGACAGGCGTATTTTCTTCGAAGACGCACCACGAGGAGACGACTCTACTTAGCAGGGCATTTTAAATGTTTTTCTTAGTCAAATTGCAGAAATAAGTGGGCACTGGCCAGTACACTTAAAAACCCGTTATACATTGAAATGTACATGTTTTTCTCGCAATCCGTATGACACTTGTAAGACGTCTACCGCCGTATGACGTCTCCGGTTCTATATTCTACGTTCTTGCTCTTTGATAAGGCCGATTACTACCATGGTTGCAATTGTAAACGAAAAACAGGCAGCTTACCCGGAGGCGATGCAGTGCAAATCGAGAACACATCCCATCTCGTGAACGCTTTTTGTTTGTGATCTATTTAATATATGAACCTGCGTTAATTTGTACCAGAGACCGCATGTACATATATCAACTTACGCCATTTGCGGCTACATTGAGCAGGTAGTTTAAGGTTTGTGCAAATGTGTGCTACCAAACGGGTTACGAAACCCACTCGCCCTGTTGTGTCTTGGGACGTACTCTAGAGGCCCGCCAGTAGCCGCTCAACAGATATTACATTATGGGCAGAATAACATTATGAATAAACCCAATTAAGACCATAACGGCCAGCCATCCCAAAGCCCAGGTATTGCAACACCTGAGACTCCATCTTGTGACCTGTTGGGTGGATGTTCAGCGCTCAAACGCACTGCACCACAGGCTCATTCTATTTTCAATCTAGATCGGAAGTATTAAAAATATTCGATGGGTACTGACCTATCGATTTAACGGAACTACTAAATTTCGAATTCCGCATCAGCCGCAAAGTGGGTAATATTGTAGGCAGAAGATGTTTGCATCTCGAATTATTTGAAGTTTACGCGAGCTCTTCGTCAAAAGGTGGTTTCCTTAACCTGCATTATATACGTTTAAAATGGGACCTTACGATATGCACTGAGAATGCCTTTTAACACAGAAGCACCGCCGACTATTTTCGACCCGTTTGCCGTCACCAGGCCGTGAGTTTTAGCATGGGATCCGACCGATGGAAGAAAAGGAACATGTATTTGCTGAGCCTTTATGGTTCTCTGCTGCACAACTACCCACAAGAGCTACAGGCCAAACGAGAATCTCTGTATTCTCTGCTAGAGCTCGGTCATTTCTGTGCCTGCCTTCTCCTCAGACAGACAATTCACGATCGCAGCCCACACTGCGTGACCTCGTAGATCAACGGTCTGAGAGTAGGGCTAAATAACCTGCTGGAACCCTTTCAGATCTTAATATTGTCCAATCATGAGGTTGAACACTGTTGGCTGAGGGGAGGGACAATAAGTCTGAAATGAAAATAGGTCACGTTTATTAAGGGAGAGGCAAGCGTGTCGTGACAAGCTCGCGTCGACGTGAACTCCCCTAGAATCTCACGACCGCCGTTCTCGACGTCTGCGAACAGCCAATCACAGTTGCCGCATTGATGCCTTCTGGGCCGGTGACGAATGGCAAGCCTGCACGCGTGAATGTTTTCTCTGCCCTCTGGCCTGACTGCTGTCGAACTGGCACTTGGGCTCGACTGGCTCTCCTGGCCGGTCGTGTTCTCACAAGTCAGACTTCTCCCATCTACTCTCCGTTCCTCTATGTACACAATATACTGTTCCTACTACTCTGGCCTTCCCAAAATTTCTCCTCTACTAAGTAACCATGGCCTGAAGATTGCAGTTACTAGGGTTTAACTTACTTAACTCCCTGCGATAGGCGCACGTCTTTGAAATCCCTATCAGCTACATTAATATGGCAAAAGACGAACGCCAATGTATACGTAGCATTTGACGAAACGATTAAAAATAATAATAATAATACTGGTAAATGAGAAGGCAGAGCGTTCACTGCGAGAAGTTTAAAAGATGTCTGACGTTTTGGGTGGTTGTTTCGTCCACCCATCTTCAAAGATTGAACATTAAGACTCAAGGCCCTCGTTTTTATGCCGCTATTCTCCGTAGTTGGGCCATATGCAGTGGCTCAGCCGGCATTGGCAGGCTGCGCACACGGCATTCCAGGCCCATATCACTCTGTTGGCAAAAAAGAATCTTCTTATTTCAGTATTGCCCGTAAGAAGAGGTACATTCGTCTACAGTGGTTCAAGGTAGTACCGGTCGACTGGGTAACCACTTACGGCAAGACATGGGGACTAAGGAACTCACCCGCTAGTCTGGGAGCCTTACGGTTCTTCACAGGAACACAAGGATTGGTGTCATGACTAGAGTTTGGATAAGTTAAGGGCTAGGTTAATTGCGTAGGCAATTTTGACGGTTAATATTCGATACTATTTGCCTTTTGTGGAATTTCGAACAAAGTCACCTGCGTTCCCGTGGGGAGTGACTATTTTTTGTAAACAATGAAGAGAAAAACCACCCATTTTGTATAAGCGAAATCAATTGGAAAGGTGTACCTCAGATATTAAAAGCTTTCAGCCGACTGTGGTATCTCCCACGCTGAGTCCGTCATCCGCTAAAATTTCATTTGGTATATTACTACTTAGTACATTTAAGTAACATATATTTAGGAGAGAGCCGTGAAGTCCTGACAATAGTTCATCCCTTTCAGTTAACGAACGAGTTGTCAGGACGCGTGTATGCTTGTGTCTGTCGTTGGGTCTTGCTCCCAGGGGGTGGGTCCTCAGTCGC